TATTGGGATGCTGCCCCCGCGACCCGGACCCGGATAAGCGGAGGAAGACGAAGACGAAGATAAACAAAGGTTTTGATTTGAGATTTATAACCAAAAACAATTGCTTTCATCAAAATGAATAAATTTTTTTTCCAAGATTAAACATTTAAAAATGCAAATGAAGTAGCTCACGACATTAAAAGTTGTACATATTTAAATTTTATGGCATAAACACAAGTTCATCATGCATTTATGAAATGTGTTGTTTTTGTATCATAGCAACCAGAAGCAAAGTTTGGACACGATGGGAAAAAAACAAACCGTTTTTAACGTGATTTATCGAACATTAAAACGAGAAACTTCCTCGTTAACCCTTTACTTTATATTTCCCGAAATGACGTTAATATGCTGCCGATGTCATTTTCACACAATTTAGTAAAGCAGTTTATTTTGTAATCAATGTCTTTGTTTTTTTTTTTGTTTGGTTGTTTGTTTTTTACCCCTTTCCCCGCTAGTTAGCTGAAACATGGTAAAAAAAAATACTTGTTTTACTAAACTGTGTAAGAAAAGAACAAGAGATGGATTACGAATAAAATACAAAATGAACGGACAAAATTGTCCTGTAAAATATGTTTTAGCTTTAGCTACTGGTGAAACTGCATAAGTGAGGATCTGGTGCTAACGTTTATGTCAGTTATTCAACTTACGGAGTCTCACTTGTTTCACCTGCGGAAACTCCGTAACTTAAACCATTCTTCTGTAGATGTTTCCCCTGTCTTGTATAATACCTTTACCACAGTTTTGTCCCTAATTTATTTTCTTTTTGACAAAACACTAGAACTTACAAAAGGTTACAGTTATTACCATTACTACCGACATCATAGATATCAGCCCAAGTTAAGTTAGCAAAGAACAAACACTCAATGTAATCAATAATAAAAACAAAAACACTTACCACTTTCTGTGATGAGTTTTTCTCGAGAAAGCAACTGGTGGTATCAACGCCCTCCGAAAACGACGAAAAACTGTCAGTTGGTTCACGTCAATGATCATAGAAACTTCACCTACACGAGGTTGTCAAAGGTGGTTCCCAGATACTTGTACTCCTCCACTACTTCCACTGGCTTCCCGTGGATAATGGTGGTGACTGAAGCAGCCTGATCCCTCTGCCTCCTGGAGAAGGTTAACACCATGTCTTTGGTTTTGCTCACATTCAGTTCAAGTTTGGAGCTGTCACACCACTTTACAAACTCCTGAAGAGCAGGTCTGTGGTGTTGTGAGGAGCCTGACAGCAGTGACAGGACTGTATCATCAGCGTAATTCACCAGGTGACAGTTGGGATGTGTGGATCTGCAGTCATCGGTGTAGAGAATGTAGAGCAGGGGGGGGAGCACACAGCCCTGGGGGGAGCCGGTGGAGGTGGAACACACACCGGAGAGACAGTTGTTGACCCGAACTTTCTGAGTCCTGTTGGTTAAAACGTCCAATATCCACAGGGTGAACTGTTCATCCAAATGAAATTGGGAGGAAAGTTTAGTAAGAATGTGAGGCTGCAGAGTGTTGAATGCTGATGAAAAGTCAACAGAGTCTGGCGGAGGAGTCAGGGAGCTCCAGATGTTTGTGGATGGAGTCCAGGATGAAGCTTTTTGCATCATCGGCACCTCTGCGTGCACGATAAGCAAAATGGAGTGGATCCATCAGGGGCTCTTTTATGATCTCCTCCATGGCCATCATCACCAAGGAGGTGAGCGCCACAGGTCAAAGATCGTTAGGAGACTTTGGGTTGATTCTTTTTGGGACTGGATAACTGGAATGTTTCCACAGCTGGGGGATGGTGTGACTGTCAAGTGAGTGTTGGGATGTAGGATGAAGAGAGAGTAGTAAATAGAGTCTTGAACACACTTCCTAGCTGCTCTACACAGTGCCTCAGAACTCTACTACTGATGTCAGGACCGGGTGAGCTCCTCTCCCTGGTCCTCCTGAGGGCTCTTACCACGTCCTCGGTCTGGAAGGCAAGTGCGGAGCTGCCAGGTTTGAGTGAGGATCTGGACTCCTCAAGCTGGGTGATATTGTCTGTCTCAAACCTGGTGTAGAAAGCATTGAGGTCGTCAGGGATGGAGGAGGAGTTGCTGCCCTCCACCTGGATGGTTCTGGAGGCGGTGACCACAGTATTCACAGCAGCCATGGTTTTGAGCCCCTGCCAGGCTGAGTGAAGGTCCCCTGTACATTGTTTTTGACCTCCCTGTTGACTTCTTTCTTATCCTGTGCAGAACCGGTGAAGAAAATCCTCTTTTTTTGTTAAGGATTTCCTTTAGCTCCTTGGTGATCCAAGGTTTGTTGTTGGGGTAGATGGTGACTTTTTTTTTTGAGGGGATGATGCTGTCTACACAGAAGGAGATGCATGATGATACTGTGTCGACTTGATCGTTGAAGTCTTCAGAGGAAGAAAGAAGGCTGACCCAGTCAGTGGCCTCAAAATATCCTTGTAGGGTGAGGATACTTTCCGCTGTCCACTGCTGGGTGCTTTTGGTTACCTTTAATCCTCTTGATGACTGGGGTGTAAGCAGGGGCCAGCAGGATGATGTGGCAGTCTGCTGAGCCAAGAGAGGGAAGGGAGAGGGCTTTAAATGCATCTGGTACCGAGCCAAAGCATTAGTCTAGAGTCTTCCCCTGATGTGTACTGCATGTAACATATTGTTGGAAACCTTTAAGCAACTTGTCAGGGGAGCAGTGGTTAAAATCACACAGGATGATTTTGGGAGAGTGGTGATAATGGTTCCAATTAGTTGAGACTGCTAATGAGGTTCTCTGTGGCTTTGGCAGCATCAGCTCTGGAGTGAATGTAGACCAAGATGATGAAAATCTTAGGTGTGTTCTTGCTGTGTCTTTGTAAATCCATGCTTTCGTTCTTTTTTAAACACAGAAACAGTTTTGTTTACCTGTTTGTAGCTACGGTTTCGCCGACAGCTGCCGGCTTCTTCAGGCTGACGCTGATGGTGGCGATAAACGGAGAAGGAAGTGACGCGCCACCATCAGCGTCAGCCTGAAGAAGCCGGCAGCTGTCGGCGAAACCGTAGCTACAAACAGGTAAACAAAACTGTTTCTGTGTTTAAAAAAGAACGAAAGCATGAAGATGATGAAAAGCTGTGGGAATTCTCTGGGGAGATAATAGGGGTGCAGGGAAACAGACAGAAGCTTGATATCTGTGGTGCACAACTTCTCCCTCACAGTGACTGTAGAGCACCAGCTGTTGTTTACATAGGGACATAAACCGCCGCCATGTTGCTTCCCGGTGCATTCGTGGTCTCTGTCCATGCGAAAAGGTGGTGAAAAGCCATCAATGTGCAGCGTGCTGTCATCGTCACTGTTGTTTAACCATGACTCAGTGAAAGCCAGAACAGAAGCAGTTTGGTACTCATGCAAGTGGTTGACGCAGGCTTGCAGCTCGTCTAGCTTGTTATGGAGACTGGACATTAGCCAGGATGATGGACGGGAGCGCTCATTGTTTGTGTGTTTCCCTCTTGAGTCTTGCTCTGACACCATACTTCTTTAATCCCCTCCTGTTTACCTTGTTTTTATGAGTTGTCAAATTTCCGTGTCCACTGAGTATTTCCTCGGGAAAGAAATCCATAGGAAGAGGGCGGAAAAGCTGTTGTCCGGGTTGCCACTGCCGATGAATGAGGAAGTCTCTGGTATAGCAGAGCCTTGGGGTCATGATCCAAAAAAGAAAAAGAAAAGCACAGAAGGAGCGATAGAGTTGAAAAGTTAAAAAGTTTAAAAAGTTAAAAAGAACGCCATAACTGCTCAGCTGTCTGGCGGTCGACCGCACTAGCAGCGACCAGACCACACTATTCCAGTGGCATGTCGTCCTGTGGCGCTCACCTTCTTGGTGATGAAGGCCATGGAGGAGATCATAAAAGAGCACATTGTAAGAGCAACTGAGCCCCTGATGGATCCACTCCAGTTTGCTTATCGTGCACACAGAGGCGCCGATGATGCAAAGTCTCCATCCACAAACATCTGGAGCTCCCTGACTGCTCCTTAGTAGCGGGCGGGGTTCTGAACATATGCAGCTTTCTTGTGTTGGACATGATGACGAACAGACAAATTTTATGTGTTTTGATTTAACTGTTAATTATTCAAACCAACAAGTACAGCAACGATGAAGCTATTCTTTTTTATTTCTTATTTGAATTAGCAGACTCCATGCTTCCAGGGCAAACTGCTGCCCTCTGCTGGTTCTTTCAGGTTACAGTCATAGTCCAAATAGGTAACAGCTTGTAAGGTTGATGACCATGGAGCCTCGACCACAGTTTATGTATATAAAAATGTATTACTTCAAGTTGAGAGGAATATTTAGAATTGATGTTGGTGAGAAATATTAGTGAAAAGGACACGTTTCTGAACTGGAAACACAGGATTTGATAGTAAACTGGTAAAAATGTCACACACTGGGGCTTTAAGCATGTAATATTTATAAATTTGATACAATTCAGATCACCTTCAAAACTTAGTCCCACACCTAGGGCTGTATTAAGGCATTTTGGGGGCCAAGGCAAAATAGACCCCTGCCAGGTATTTTAAGTTGAGGTGCTTTTTGTTTTTAGATTAGACATTTCTTTGTTTGTTGTTGCATTAAATCTAAAAGTGAAGAATTGATGTTATTACTTGATTGTTCAAGCTACCTCTCACAGAAGTGCTGTGTTTATTGACCAATGTTAAATTTTAAAATAAAGTTAATTAAATAAAAATATAGAAAATTCTGGATCTGCTTCTTAGCTTTTTAAAATTATTTTTTAAAGTATCGGATCATGACTCGCTATCAGCAGATTCTCAAAATGAAAAGACTCGAACTCGTGGGCAACAAAACCTGATCGGTACGTCTCTTCTCGTAACTCATGAAGGAAACACAGTGACTCTAAACTGAAGGTGGTGATTTAAACTAATTTAAAACAACTTTAGCGCCTTTGAAACCAAAAAAAAGTATTTTTGCTTTATGTCAGCAAGGAAAAACCCATTCATGTTAGTAGAAAAGTAGCTAAAATGCTATCATCTTTAATGAAAACAACATTTATAAATGCATGATTTTAACAGTATTTTAAACTAATTGTTTAACAGTTTTTTATCTACAGATTCTGTGTATCAGAAAAATAACGGATTTGTGTGAAGTGTAAAAAGCAGCTTTTCTAGAAACACATTCAGACACAAACTACTGCAGTATAAAAACACAATTTACATGCTGTTAAAGTATCCCCACACATTTCTGTTAGTGAGCATCATTAAGGCACTTTTAAACAAACCCTTTCTTGATGTTGTAATGCCCCTTTTGGCCCCTTGATGGCAGCATGGAACCTGTTTTTCATCATAGTTGAACAGGATTGAGTCTGTTCTCTATCTGTCCTCCAGAGTGACTTTTCAGTCAGTCTTTCTTTAGAAGATAACTTCCCTTAGATCTGCTGTACAGCTTTCAGGCTCAGCCTTTATTCATGATGGAGTCTCTTGGGATCTTTAATTCAGAGATCCGTACAAATCCTCATCTAAAAGCACCCAGTCCAGTTTTCACCCTCACGACACAGCTGATGTCCCAGCTATGACTTTAAAGTGTCCGATCTTCAGTGGAGGTGTGCATTCAGGTCGTATTTCTCACAGAACGTGTCTGTTATCGGGATGCAGGTGAGGTACTCGCACCAGTTGCACTTCACCGGATTCACGTAAAACAGAACGGCCAGCGCAGAGAGAAGACCCACAAAGATCAGCAGGAAGCCCCAGATCTGGATTCGCTTCCGATACATGTCAGAGTGCCCAAAGCTGGAGATTTTAAAACAAACGGAAAGCAAAGTGTCACAAAGGATCTGTGAATTGATCTTAACGCTGATGTTCTTCTTCACTAACCTGATGTATGGAAGGAAAGCGAAGGACAGGAAGAACCCTGACGCAAAACCACAGATGTGAGCAAAGTTGTCGATCCAAGGTAGCAGACCAAAAGAGAAGAAGAAGACCGAGATGGCAAACAGTTTAGCAAACGCTCGCCACGGGCGCTCCAGGATCTGCCAGCTCTGAAACAGCTCCACAAACAAACAGGCCAGGATGCCAAACTGGCTTCCAGCAGGACCCACCTGATAAGAGTCAGTCAGTTGTTAGTTTTTAGACACTGCATGGAAGAATGAAAGGGTTCCCAGGTTGTTGTACCTCTGCTCTGTAGGGCAGGAATATAGCAGAGGCCAAGTTGCCAGTGATGCCGCTCAGCATGTAGATGATGGAGATTCTCAGCCAGCCAGCCAGCTTCTCTAAATCTCTCAGGACCGTCATCTGGAAGAGCACGGACACCACGCAGTGCAGGATCCTGCACATAAAGCCAGAAGTATTGTAATAAACTAATATAATATTTTTAGCAGAGAAGAAACCATGTGTAATTGTGAATCCTGAAGCTTGTTGAGTAGAGTTCAGTTACCCAGCATGAAGAAACAGAGACAGCCACAGCCGAGAGAACTGATCTGGGATGTCCGGATTCAGGAAAGGCAGCAGTCCACAAACATGGTCCATACAGGCCACCTAACACCCAAAGAGACTTCCCTTAAAACCAGTGGGATGACTCAATCCATGAGCTCCAGCGTTCTGAGTCACCATGTGGTTCTTATAAATCAGTAACCTGCTGAGGTTGTGAGTTCAAGTCCTGCCTGGAACAGCAATCCTTCTGCTATGGGTTTTGTAATAATTTCATCAGGGTGGCTCAGGAGTAATCACCAGGTTGCCGGTATTCCAGAACACATTCATTTATAAACTACAACTATTACCTGCTACAGGTTTTTTAGTCACGAACAAGCATTTGTTCAAACAAGAGTCACAGTTTCTAAACAATGTGGACAGCATCGGTCTGTTTCTGCCCTACCATTCACAAATGCCATGTTGTTTTTATTAGTGATGCACCGATACCGATATATGTATTGGGCCCGATACTGGTAAAAGTTAACTGATACCAGGAACTGATACCAATGCAGTTCCTTGAAAGTGGCTTCACTGTAACTTGTGCTGCCTCCAGGAATGGTCAGTTTTTTCACCTACAGTCTGACCTCTTCAGTATCTGGCTATTTGGAGACATAAGTCTTAACTGGTGCTTTCAATCTGCAAGAAAGATACTGTTGCTTGTCCAAGGTCCCTCGCAAGCTCACTCTTATCTAAGACTGGTTTTTATTCACAGAACAAGATGGATGAACAATATGAGTAACTAATCATATACTGAAATGGACAACATGGTTAAATGAAATGTTTTGATTAATCTGTGCTTAAATTACTGAAGTTGAAATTAATATTATTATTACATTGAAAGATGAACAAGGATGAAATGAATATATGACCCATATATTTAATCAGCGCACTGACTGGACAAGACACACTCGCCATACCTCCATGACGCAAGTTAACGTCACTGCACATAGATATTTTCTTATCCACTAAATCAGCATCTTCATATCTGAGGGAGGTATGTATCTGAGGTTTTTGGCAAAACCTCATTACAGGGCAAATTCAGATTTATCAGTATACCAAAATATGGCCATTATTTAAACAGCATCACTTCCTGAGGAATTCAGTTGAGCTAACTGACTGGCCATCGGAGGGAAACTGCTCCCTCGCATCGTTGACAAGCTGTCAAAAACCTGTTGCACGCTACAGCTAACCACCAACGGTTCCTTCAGAATAAAGATGAACCAGCTTCAACTCCTTAAGAGTTATTCCTAGACGCAAATAACTACATGTCGTGACCTGGAGACATCTCGAGACCGGTCTAGTCGGTACTGTGGTTTCTTCTACGGACTTTGGTACCTCTGGGGTCCCCGGACTTCAACACATTCCGGATCTACCACAGGGGTCCCCGAGAGGGTCCGTAGACTCGACAGATTGCGTCTGATGTGGTTTTATAAACCATCACTATAGTCAGAGCAGACCAAATTCACTCCCACTCAGGACTCTGTTTCTGATAACATCATATTCACACATCCTCACACCTCACATTCTATCCACTTAGATTCATTCATCACATAAAGTTTTCCTAGTTGTCATGTTTTTAATTGTTTAGAGAATAAATTTCTTACTTTTATAAACTTGACTCTGTTTGGATTGATACGAAGTGTGTTTGATCACTGAAAAAGTAAAGAATCCTATAATCTTCTGATTAAACATTCAAAGACCAATAAGGTTGATATCTTATATTTATGTAAAATATTCCAGCTTATTGGTCATAAGTAAAGGTAATATATTAAGTTTAAAAGCAACAATAGTTACCCCTTCTACACTTGTCATTTCTGTTCACCTACTAATTAAGTTTTGTGATCATTTCTATTCTATTCTATTAATATATACATATATATATATATATATATATATATATATATATATATATATATATGTGTGTGTGTGTGTGTGTGTGTGTGTGTGTGTATATACATACATATATATATATATATATATATATATATATATATATATATATATATATATATATATATATATATATATATATATATATATACCTCACATTCTTTTCCTGTTGAAAGCAGAAGGAAAATAAAACCTGTATTCCAATTATATGCATTTTTTGTGTGGTAAAAGTGTCGGTATCGGTAATCGGTATTGGCAAGTACTCAGATCAAAGTATTGTATTGGTTTGGAAAAAAGTGGCATCATTGCATCCCTAGTTTCTACACAATATGCTGTCAGTCAACACATTTCTACAATACTTACAGACAAGCTGTAGTCACCACCCAGTGTATGGATGGTTTTTGTCTTAGCTACTAATGTTAACATACAACACATCACGGTACAAACAGCAATATTCCAAACCATAGTTACAGTAAAACCTCTATTTCTGCAATGATACAGCTCAAATATAAGCTGATGTCACCACTAAAAATGATGAATAATGGGCACCCAGCTGATTCCAGACTGGATTTCAGAGGCAGGTGCTGAAGGTATATCGATTAGTTGAGCCCATCAAACTTGCTTCACCACTAGCCTGCTCAGTGCATTTTGTGTGTTTTCTTTAGTGTTTTTCATGAATATTTTGTTCACTGAGCAATACTATAAACCAGTATACTATAAAGGAGAAAACTGATTTGTTTTTGCTGGAATGATTCAGAATGTGAACATCAGATGAGGACATACAACTCCCAACCAGGAACAAATGAGTAAAAATTTAGATTACATGTTTTACATGAAACTTCCTGTAAAACTCAAACCGAGTCTGGTAGTTTTGGTGATGCCAGTAATTGGCAGTATTTTTAAACCAGCCGTATTTTGATTTACTACCTGTGGCTTGCGAATTAAAACAAGAATTAAAACAAGAATTTTTTTTTTGAGTCAGATGTTTAAATGTTTGGTAAAGGTAGAGTATGCTGAGAAAGATATATTCTGTTTTTAAAAGAAGTGCTAGTATATATGTGTTATATGATAAAAAGAACCTATTTGGCCAAACGTGTTTTGCAGGTGTGGGTCTGAGTGAAGTGTTTGGTGAATGTAGCTCAAGTGTTTGTTGTTGTAAAACCTTCTAAATTATGTTAAATTCAACTTTAACCTTCTGAGACCCAAACTTGTATTTGGTGTGATTTAAAAGTAAAACAATTCTAATTATTACAAATTAGTCTTTGGTAAAGTGAAGACAGATAAAGCCTACATAAGTGCGGCAGATTAAAAAGTTATGTATGGGCTTGGGGCAACACTTAATGCTTTTATTTTGGTGAGCCAGCCAACAGCATAGGGAGCCTAAAGACTGATTCATGTTTCTCCATCTGCGTCAGTGCGGAGACACGCAACGCCATTATCTGTCCTGCTGGAGAGCTCCGCAAGGACAGATGGAGTCGAGCTCTCTTTTCTAAGCATTCGTCCGTCGAGACGGACAACGAAAGCTTGTGATTGGTCAGGGCGCCTCTGTCGTCTACACCGCCGCCATTGCACCCTCAAAAACATAAAGAGAGCCAAGGATATCTAGCGGCAGACACGGAGCAGCTTGAAGAATACCTCGCAAAAAAACTCTAAAAACGTGAACGTTTCATTCCCCTGTGACTGGAGGAGTGAAAACATGCACAGCAAGCGTTTTATTTGTGGATGGAAATAACAGGAAACGTGGGTTTAGAGGTGGCGAGCGCATGAAGAGGTGGAGGAGGATGAGAGACAAAGAGAAAAAGTCTCTTATATACAAAAAACATAATATAAACACTACCTTGGACCGGATACATGACAGGATACCACAGAACAGCGCTACGCCCTCTGTTGTCCTGCCAGGGAATTGCTTTGCAACACTCCCCAGGAGACGGAGAAGTATGAGAGCAAAACGCTTCTGTCAATCCTTGCGCGTCTGTCCCTTGCGGAGCTGACGGATGTCATTTTGGGTTGTAGTTTTTTGACCCACGACATGCAGAATCACACACAAAGGCAGGAGGTAAGTAAGGCCCTGTCCACACGTAGCCGGGGATCTGCCAAAACGTAGATATTTTTCTACGTTTTGGCCTGTCATCCACACGAAAACGGAGTTTTTTCACACGAAAATGGATCTTTTTAAAAACTCCGGCCAAAGTGAAGATCTGCGTTTTCTCCGTTTTGGGTGACTGCGTGTGGACGGACAAAACCGGAGTTTTAAGGTCCGCAACGTCACTTTCCGCGACAAAGCAATGCTGACATCACGTGTGCGACCTGTGTTTACACTAGCCGACGGCATGGAAGCCTTCAGAGCCAAGCTCTGTCACTACCCGATCCATCAATTGTCCAAGCGCTTTCTGCTTGTTTGTTTTTGCAAGCGGAATTACTGCTCCTTGCGGAAGACCACAGACGAAGGACGAGGTTAAGAACGGGGGAAGTACTGCCGCCTACAGGTCTGGCATGTCCTTAACAACGTATTTATCCGGGTACGTGTGGACGGAGTTTGTTTTTAAAACGTGGTGGTGTGGATGCAAGTTTTTGGAGGGGCGGGTATTCGTTTTTAAAAAAACCCGGCTACGTGTGGACTAGGCCTTAAAAAGGTTTATTTCTTGTACGGGAAGGTGAAGATGAAGGCTGAAGTTCTGGTGGCTCCGGTGGAGTTCTAAAGCAGAGGCAGGAGTGAGTAATTGCAGATCGGCAGCTCAAAGGGTTATGAGATTTGGCTTACGGTGTCACGGGCTGTTTTTATTCTCACCATGTTTTTAGGTTTAAGAATCTGCAGGTGGGCGTGTCTGGAGAGCAGGAGCAACGGCCAGCTGCAGCTCATCTCCAATCATCCTCTTGGGTGTATTTAAGTAGCTGACTTCCTCCACATTCTTGCCAGATGATTACTCAACCTGCGTAGTTCGAGCCAGATTAAAGATTTATTGTCAAGCTAAGACTAAGACATAGACTAAGAAATGTTTTGTGATGCAGATTTCTAATTGACAAGGACCAAGAATAATCCTTCCTCTTATTCCTTCAAGGAACCATCTCCTGCAGCCATCTCCATGAACTTCTCATCAGCTCCACTTCATGCAGCTCCAACTCTTGGCTGTACGCTCTCCACCACGCCCCTACCGCCTAACCCTTTAAGCTCACCACACAGGAACTCTGGACCTCGTCTTCATCAAGACCCCTTTGCAACCCATCTTCATAAGACCAACTAGTGCTCCTTTGCACGCCCTCTAGCCACCTCCTTTTAGTAAGCCTAGACCTTCAGTTACCCATCATCTCTCATGGATATTAACCTTTTCTCTCTTCTTAGAACATCCTGGTACTTCCTGCATCAGTTTGAGCAGTGCTTTGAGTTCTCAGTTCTAAAATAACTTATTTATTTTCTTACCTCCCTGTTTCCGTCTCTGATTCTGCATGTCGTGGGTCAAAAGAATACCACAGAACATGACATATGGTTTCCTGGTTGTTGGAGAAGGCTTTGAGGAGGGTAAATGGCCTGTATTTGATATAGCGCCTTTTAGAGTCCTGGAACCTCCCAAGGCGCTTTACAACACAATCAGTCATTCGCCCATTCACACACACATTCACACACTGATGGGGATGAGCTACAATGTAGCCACAGCTGCCCTGGGGCGCACTGACAGAGGCGAGCATGGGTTAAGTGTCTTCCCCAAGGACACAACGACAGCGACAGACTGAGCGGGGCTCGAACCTGCAACCTTCCGATTTCGGGGCGAGCGCTTAACTCCTGTGCCACCGTCGCCCATAAGCCAAGGCTGGCTGAGCGGGTCGAGTGAGAGTCAGAAGTAATGGCTGGGAGCTGAGCACCAGAGTCCGAGACGTTCAGGTTGGCAGGTGGGGGTTGGAGAGCAGGCGGTCAGGGGCGGGCGACTGGGCTGGCAGGTATGGTTTGAATCCGATGAGTCTATTTCCTGATGATGGAGGTTGGCTGGTGGAGGAGAAGTTCCCAATACTGAGTAATCATCTGGCACTGGTGAGTTGTCCCGACGCCCCTTAAATCCCCTGACCACTGATGAGCAGATTGACGGCAGCTGCTCTCCGGACACACCCACCTGCACACAGAGAGACTCAGCAAAACACAGAGGTTAACTCAGCACAGACCATGACAACGGAGAAGCATGAATCAGGCTTAAGTCTCCTCCCTTTCCGGTCGGCTCATGGGTCCCCAGAAGAACGAAAAAAAGAATGCAACTCAACGAAAAGAGCTATTCTCTAATCTGCTTTGCCTCAGACCCTGGATAAATAAAACTAATGTGTGTTTCAACCACACCCATCATGTACTTTGAGATTTATCAGCTTGTAAATGTTTGTAATTAGCATGACTACAAATTAGACATTTTTGTAGTCCTGGACTTATTTTCACACAAAACCTAAAATAACTTTTCCCCTTGTTCAAAAATAAGCGAGTTCTTGGTGTCAAAATGCATCTTTAATATTCACTGACATCATATGTGAAATCCATGGAACATAACAAGCGGAATTAGAAAATAGCGTCTTTAGCCCCATTGACTTGCATTCATTTTTCGTTCTTCCAGGGACCCATGGTCTGGAAGTCGATGGGTATGACTTAGGCTCTTTATTCCTGCTGTGCTTTTACTGAAAAAAGAACAATGAATGCAGCGTCTCAGCGTTGGCCAGAATAATTGTGGTGGTAAATATTTCCACATTGAAGCACCCACCTGGGAGCAGAGCGTGGCCTCCTCGTGGAAGTAGCCATGCATAAAGTCACAATACTCTCTGGAGGTGATTTCACATCTGCAACACAAAATGCTCTGTTCACACCTCAAAGATACGTTTAGGTGATGTGAGTACAGTAACGCCAAACAATTAGGCAGCTTACAATCAGCAGAAAAAATAATCTATTTAAAACTTGGTCTAATAGACACAAGGTGAGTTAAACCAGCAAGGCTGTGCAGAGCTTCAGTGGATTCTTACCGCCCCTTGGTCCCAATGCAGCAGGGCCGACCTGTGATGGCGCAGTCTATGTGAGGAAGGTTGGTATGATTCCCAGAGTTGTATTTCGTGCAAATCTATGGATCAGAACCACAAGGAAAACAAAAAATGCACTGGTTCTATACAACAGCAAACAACCATTCCACAGCTTTGGATGGATGAAGAGAAAAGCCGGTTGCAAAGATCAGATGTGGTGTTCTTTAACTGTTTAGCTGTGTCCAAAGTCCAAAGTGAACTAACTTTGATCTGTTTTTGCAAATGAACTCGTCTTATTCCCACAATTTTCTTTCTGCTGTGACACGCACAAATGACACGTAAAGCATTATTGTTTTACGTCTTTTTTCAACTAGCAATTTAAATGTTCTTCTCTTGACTTTCATTTTCACATTAACATTTAGAAACTTTTTCTAACAGGTTTCAAACAACAAGAATGTCTCAAATCCCTTGAGGGTGCAGAGGTCACCGCTACCAAATCACACGGCACACATACGCTTCTGTTTAAAATCGGAAGAGAAGGGCCTTTTAACTTGACATTCTTCCTACATGAAACACAGCAGAAACATAACAATGTGATGTGTTTAAACCTGTCAGACTTACTGGCCACTCCGTGATGTCATCTGACCACTCGTGAGGTGAAACTGAAGCTGGCTCTTGACAAATCCTACAGAATCCATAGGACAACAAATTACTGCTGTAATCACACAGATGAGCTGTTTGCTGGTGTGTGATTGAGTAATAATATTTCAAGTGGCCAACAGTTAGTGTTACCTGGGGTCCTGATGGCAGACTGCACCATGCTGACGTACTTCACCATTTAAATGTGGAGCACTGGGGTGCTGAGGCCACTTCACCCACTCTGAAAGAGTGCTCTGGAATCGAAGAAAAAAAATTAACAATTGACCCCAGTGAGGCCAGGCTCACATGGTAAGATTTTAAAATTGTTGTGAAGATTTTCAAAACAGCAGAGATGGGTGTGATAAAAATCATGAACTCATTTCCCTCACAAAACCTCTCAAGATTAAACGGGACTTCAGAGTAAACAAACATGGCAGACGAAGATTCCTGTCACTCTGTGCTTCTGTCATTTCCCTCTCTAATTGGCTACATGAGGCAACACACGCGGAGCCTCGGGACACACCACACATTATCATATTGGGGGACACAGTCCAACATGTTGAAAAGTTATGGGGAGAAAAAAGTCTCAAAATATCTGTGTGTGTGTGTCTAACTTTGTATATGTGTATATAGATATGCGTATGCGTAACTAAAGATTTGTGTGTGTGTAACTCTTGATTTGTAACTTGTGTTTACATTTTCGTATGTGACTTCAGCTCCAACACATACAAATCATTGAATACACACACACACACACACACACACACACACACACACACACACACACACACACACACACACACACACACACACACACACACACACACAAATCACCTGGTACACACAGGCAAAACTACAGTAGTTTACAAGTACAAAAATCCTTTTGAGACTATTTTCTCACCTGACTGATTTGTGCGTACATGGTGCATTTGAATGCTGGGTGGAAGCTGGGAAATTTGAACTCCCTTTGGAATTAGTCTACATTTGTGTTACTGAAACAAATATGTTTTTCTGTGGAAAAATAGAGTATCTCAGGATCCTGTAGTTACAAAAGATAGACTGACATAAAATTTTTAATCATCTAAAATTGTTTAGTTAGACACATATGTGTTTATGTGCCATGAAAAGGTAGTCAAAGGTTTAAAAGAAATTACTAAGAGCAGAGTGATTCTCTGACTGGAAAAAGCAGGCTTCAAACCAGGAGAAGGCACGAGAAGATGGCACAGCGTCCTGTTGATCTTTCCTCTGAAGTAAGTAAAAGTAAATCCATCATGCTTTGCAGTCAGGTTATAATGAGACAGCTGTTATTTTAGACCTTTTCAGATGTTTTATAGGTCTGAAAGATTGACACACTATTCTCAGACAAGGAAGTGGCTCTCTGCTTTGTGTGTGCACAATAATATAAAAGTCGTTTAAAAATGCTTTTTTATGATTTGGCCTTTGGCCTGGTATTTTCTGACCATGTGTGTGATTAGATGTATTTGTTGATCTCATTGTTTGTTTTATCAGTTTTTTCTTTATTGTGTTGCTGTGTAATTTATGGGGATCACTTTGGTCAGCTTTCATGCTGTGTGTAAATGTACCATACAAATAAACTGGTATGGTATGGTGTGGTGTGGTGTGGTGTGGTATGATGTAGTGTGGTGTGGTGTGGTATGGTATGGTATGATCTGGTGTGGTGTGGTGTGGTATGGTATGATGTAGTGTGGTGTGGTGTGGTGTGGTATGGTATGGTGTGGTATGGTATGATGTAGTGTGGTGTGGTGTGGTGTGGTATGGTATGATCTGGTGTGGTGTGGTGTGGTATGGTATGGTGTGGTATGGTATGATGGCTTACATCAACTTTTGAACTGATTCAATAATGTTTTTCAATCAACTCTGGAGAAAATGGTCTACTAAAAACCTCACAAATCTCACAACCATTGGACAACAGTTAAATCATCTCTCAGCCATCTTGACTCTCCAGTTGGTGTCAGTTGTGGTGATTCTACAAACAGCCCTTTGTCACGATCTGCCCCTGCCCAACCTGACTGTGTTCCTCTCCTGCCGTGATTGCCCTTATTGTTCTCACCTGTCCCTCGTTTACCTGCCCATGTTTCCCTAAGTAGCCCTCTGTATTTAAACCACCTGTTTTGCCCCTGTCCTTTGTCAGTTCATTGTTTCTGTTCGCTGGTGTTCCTGTTCATCCCATCCTGCCATTAAACCATTTTTACTTTTACTTTTACTGAAGCCTGCATTTTTCCTCCTGCTCAGCTCAACCACACATGGTCCATCATCTCCACCTCCTACACCGTGACAGAATGAACTGACCAAACCGGGACCTGTGGTGAGCATTTCTACATCTCCCTGGAGGACTTATTTTTTCTTTTTTTGTCCTTTAGCAGAAGGAGATTCTGGCCCAGGGTGTTGGCGCATCCTACCTGTTCTCCGGGGTGGTCAAGCCTCTGGGTGGGTTTCGGCGCATCCAGTTCGTTTCCTGTGGTGGTCGAGCCCTTCTTCTCTCCTGCTTTCTGTCCCCGTCCTGTTTTTCTCATGGAAGCTGCGGATCCTGGAGCTCTGAAGGAGTTACACCCCCTACGCACGCCATCATTCTCCGGGGTGGTAGGGTTGGTCTCCCCGCTCTTCTCCTGCTTCCCTGCACCCAAGCCTCTGCCTGAGACCCAGCTAATCGTGCCGTGTACCTGCTCTGACCGGTTGTCGAGCACCTGCCGCCGAGCTGGGTTCCCTTGCATCGCTCCTGCCATTCGTCCACTTCCTGGTCCATGCTGTGGGGCTTATGCCTGCAGGTCTCGTGCTGCTGCAGCCTCTGCTGGGTCCCACGCCTGCTCCTGCAGTTCTCTGCCTGGGTCCCATGCCTACTGCTGCAGCCCCTGCCGGGTCCCACGCCTGCTCCTGCAGTTCTCTGCCTGGGTCCCACGCCTGCTCCTGCAGTTCTCTGCCTGGGTCCCACGCCTGCTCCTGCAGTTCTCTGCCTGGGTCCCACGCCTGCTCCTGCAGTTCTCTGCCTGGGTCCCACGCCTGCTCCTGCAGTTCTCTGCCTGGGTCCCACGCCTGCTCAAGTCCCTGTTCCAGTCATGTCAAGTCCCTGTTCCAGTCATGTCAAGTCCCTGTTCCAGTCATGTCAAGTCCCTGTTCCAGTCATGTCAAGTCCCTGTTCCAGTCATGTCAAGTCCCTGTTCCAGTCACGTCAAGTCCCTGTTCCAGTCACGTCAAGTCCCTGTTCCAGTCACGTCAAGTCCCTGTTCCAGTCACGTCAAGTCCCTGTTCCAGTCACGTCAAGTCCCTGTTCCAGTCACGTCAAGTCCCTGTTCCAGTCACGTCAAGTCCCTGTTCCAGTCACGTCAAGTCCCTGTTCCAGTCACGTCAAGTCCCTGTTCCAGTCACGTCAAGTCCCTGTTCCAGTCACGTCACGTCCCTGTTCCAGTCACGTCACGTCCCTGTTCCAGTCACGTCACGTCAAGTCCCTGTTCCAGTCACGTCACGTCACGTCCCTGTTCCAGTCACGTCACGTCAAGTCCCTGTTCCAGTCACGTCACGTCAAGTCCAGTCTTCGAGTCCCCGTCTCCTGTTGTATAGCCTTGTGGGCGTCTGGTATCCGCCCTTAAGGGGGGGGGGGGTACTGTCACGATCTGCCCCTGCCCAACCTGACTGTGTTCCTCTCCTGCCGTGATTGCCCTTATTGTTCTCACCTGTCCCTCGTTTACCTGCCCATGTTTCCCTAAGTAGCCCTCTGTATTTAAACCACCTTGCCCCTGTCCTTTGTCAGTTCATTGTTTCTGTTCGCTGGTGTTCCTGTTCATCCCATCCTGCCATTAAACCATTTTTACTTTTACTGAAGCCTGCATTTTTCCTCCTGCTCAGCTCAACCACACATGGTCCATCATCTCCACCTCCTACACCGTGACACCCTTTGAAGAAACATGGCTGACTCTGTGCGTAAACCAATGTGGAAGCCTCCTTAATCACTCAGCTGCAGTTTTTCTCATCAGAAGGATGCCATCACCAAACTATTATCCTGTCTGTATACCCACCATGGTCTCCTTCTGTGTCGTCCTACTGACCAGACAAAGGGTCATCTGGCTCTAGAGGAAAGCCTGGTTGTTCTTATTGGATGATTCTTGTTAAACAGAAGTCCAGAGATTGATGGAAGAACATAAGAATCACATGGTCCACAAGTGCTCAGCAATCACCCAACACATTCCTCAATTGACTCTCTTTCCCACGCAATAAGCAGCTTTCTGCAGGAAGGTGATGATCATTATCTCCACACAAAGGTTTACATAATTCTCTGTGAAACTGCAGGCATGTGTTTTATTCCTTGACAAACGCTTAAGACTTTTTAAAGATTTGCCCAATTTTTGTCTATCAATGGTGTCTGTCCTGTGGAAAGGGGCCATTATCTACTGCAACTTCCAAAATGTTGCAATTGAAAGCTTTGTTTATCAACCAATCAGGTTGTAACTATCGTCTGAGTTTGTAGACTCCTGATCGGGCGGCACTGACCGAACACTCGTCTTGTAATGTCTGCAGACAGCCAGAGTGATCGTTTCTCACACAGCAGCCCGATTCTCTCTCTCTCTCTCTCTTCTCCTGGATCAGTTTGTGGATCTCTTCATCTTGGCGCATACAAGGAGAGAACTTGGCTCCGAGGTGAATCAGCGCCTCCTGCAGAACAGAGTCAGGATGTTACAAAATACCTTAGTCTTTTTCCTTCACATCTCAATAAGATTGGTCTGTATTTGATCACAAATTTGTGTTCACTTATATTTCCAGCTAAAACACTTCAAGTGGTTGTTGCTGTAATTAAGTCAGCTTAATTAAGACGTAACATATACATAATAGTCAGAGAAACATGAGTAATGTTTTATTGGCCGCTATTATATTATATGATGCATTTTATTACTTTATTATAGCCTATATATTATCATATTAATAATTAGCACTTGCCACTTGCAGTACCTGATTCCTCCACCAGGGTGAGGAGACATGTAAATGACTATGTTTATGTTTATTTATTTAGCAGACGCTTTTATCTAAAGCGACTTACAATTTATAACATATAGGGCATGTTGTGATCTGTGGGGGAAACCGGAGTACCCAGAGGAAACCCACGCATGCATGGGGAGAACACGCAACTCCACGCAGAAAGACCACAGCCGAGTTTCGAACCTACAACATTCGTGCTGCGAGGCAACAGTGCTAACCACTGCGCCACCATGCAGCCCAATTACTAAGACTAATTACAGGACATTTATATTATTGTTAAAGAGGTGGAGCAAATGTAGAAACTGCCAATCAAATTTGAAACATGCCGTTATCGGAAACCCTAACCAACCCTAACATTAACCATCATTTGATCCATACATATGATATTTATAAAAGTTGGTTTTAAATGGAAAGTCGTAAATACTTACAGAGCTTGGACCCACCCAGAAGTTCTGCTGCTGCACAAATTTTACATTTTCATAAACTCCCTTATTCCTCAACACCTCAAAGAAAGGATGTAAAAAAACCAACAATTAAATGACATTTAAAAGATAAAATACATGAAACAGTTTTTACTGTTTACATTATAAAACTGCGCAAAGCTCTTACAGAATCCACAGTTTCATGTTGTGAGAAGCCTATTGGAGCAATGCCATAAATGGAGACGGCCAGGATGGTGATGAGCAGATGGACAAATGTGATCCAGTAGGTAAAAAACGGTCTATGGTGGAAAGGGGGACAATTTTACTAAACATAAAAGTATCTGTTATCGTACCGAAGAGGACAGTCTGGCAGATATTGTCAAGGTTTTCAAGATTATTCAGTTATCTCATAATCTGTGTGTTCTCCTTATTTCATTAGAAGTGACCTTTAATGCTACATGCCGACCCTTCTGAAACTGTTGGTCCAGCTCCCCTAGAGACCAGAGCTACTTCTACAATCTGACACCTGTTATTTTGTTAGACACACACCTGCTCCCTAGGCTGAAACACTCTGTTCCTGCTTAAACTGATTTCTGCTGCTTCCTTCACGTCCTAACGCCACTCTATCTGCTCATGCCACATCACACAACTCGTAACCGCCCCCTTGCTTATTGTATCTAACAAAAACATGCTGCGCAGGGAAGAGAACTCGGAGTTGGGATGAGATTGCTGTTACACCTCTCACAAAAAGCTTTTTCCATGCCAAGCGCTCTCCACTTTGCAAAGCTGGTACCTGACAACTACTTGTTTCTATGTGCTTATTTTATTAGGTTTTAACCCTAACAGATATCCACCTGTGATCATCCATGTCTTCAATCTGCCGCTTAACAAAGCTGTCCAGGCGTTTGCGGTACGTTCGGTTCGTCAGACGACCGACCATGCCCAGCCCATATGGCCTCTTGTTCCGAGCAAACATATTTTTGACAGGAACTGTAATTCTTTGTCCTCGCTGCTGATGGCTGTCAACGCTCAGCACCTCCTGCTTCAGACGAACTTTGGGCTGCACCAGGGAACCCTCTTTAGCCTTCCGCCACCCTCTCTCTAAAGGCCTGGAAAACCAATGGGAAGTGAGATGGGAAATCTATCAGTGATGACTAAATAAACCAATAAGCCTAAGATGAGGTGTCTTGTTGAGACTGATCCACCCACAGCATGAGATGACTCCTCTCCAGCTTATTCCGGTCCAGTGCACTTCCTGTGAGGACACTCTCGTCCAGCTGTTTGAGGTCGGCCTCTGATGGCGTCTCAAAAACATCATCAGCGTAGCTGGACAGCTCTTCCTGAAAGCCATCCTGCAAATATGAATATAGCACATGTTTGTAATAACAACTGTTTGTGTAACAACACAGAATACAACATAGTATGTTTAAAAAAAAGTCTGCCATTTTCTGTATATTACGCTGCTTGTTTATGTCAAAAGATTTAGAGTTTTATTTGAATAACTGTGACAATCCTAGAATGTGGTGAAAATGTGTTTATTGCTCACTCTGGTGAAAAAGGAAGTATCCAGCTCATCAGGAAAATCCACAGTGTCATCGTCAATGAAACTAGGAGGCATGAAACTCCGTCTGCGCCGTCGACCGGCTGTGCTGTCACCCAACGTTCGACCCTAAAGAACACAAAACCAGAATCAATGATTCACATTGCATTCAACACATGCTGGATTGAAGCTGTTTTGGGTGAAAAATCCTGCTAAAAGTAAACATTAAATTATTACAACAAATATGTAGCTTATTACAAAAATGGTTGTCTTAACTTTAAAACAGGTTTTGTGTTGTGTGTCTGCTTTCAGGGTTTATTTAAATCACAAGTTTAAGCAAAAATATACAGTTTATTTTTTATGAAACTAATCCAGATGTGAATTTACCTCAGCACTAAACACATTTAAGTCATATTAGTCTAATATATTTCAGTTTAGTCATATGAACTGTCCCCATGCACCAGACTTAGTTATGGTGTGTATCAGGGTTCAATGCCTGGTTCAATAGTTTTCATATATGTGAAACATTGGGTCAAATCATTAAACAGCATGGGATTCATTTCTATTGTCATGCTGATTGATGTATTTATCTATGAAGCCAGATCAATCAGATAAACAGTTCACCAGCATCCCTGATGACTCTTAATCAACTCTTAGTCACAATTCATAGTTTTGTGTTGGTGGTGGTCAGAGGGGCCGACGGCGCCAAATTGCTGCCTCGTCTCTGTCAGACCGCCCCAGGGCGGCTGTGGCGACAAAGTAGCTTACCATCACTAGCAGTGTGTGAATGTGAGAGTTCATGCAAGCATCTTTGAGTGTCCTAAACAAGCGCTATATAAGTTTGATGATAATTATTGATATTAGTTTTAGGACTTAGAGAATATTCTGTAGCCGTTCATTTCCTGTAGAAATGCCATAATTTGGGGACGGTTTGTGTTATTTGGATCCTTTAGTCTCCATACAAAACCTGGACTACATTCTTCCAACTGTGGACTTTGCTGAAATCCGGAATTAGATTCCAAATGACCATAAAACAATGTACTCAAAACATACAAATATTGTTAATATTCTGATGTAACCTTACATTAAGGCTCCATTAATAAATTGTTAATAAATATTTTGGATATTATTGATTGCATTCTTCCCGAGAGCAGTGGCGGACATTTGACTCCGAGTGGACCTTGTTCCACTCTGCGATTGTTGAGGTGGCTGTTGCTAGCTGTGGTCGCAAGGTGGCTGGTGCCAGTCACAATGTCAGTGGTAGAGTTGTGTTGCTGTTTGCCAATCCAAGGTTGAGATATCCAAATGACAGTAAATAAGACTCCAAACCCTGCCGTCTGAAGCTCAGCTGTGATGTGACTCACTCAGGCCCAGTCCCAATACTCGCATTTCCACCCTTGTGCCCCTCAGCTGTGCATTGCCATCCAGGGGTGCAGCTGCGTATAGTTTCCAAATTCTCAAGTGCAGAAAGTGACCCCTTTGCACCCATGATTTGGATTTTGGCGAAGGGTATTACCCACAATCCATTGATGCATAGGAATTTTGAGAAGAAGGCCGAGCAATGGCTCAAGTGCCCTTTCTGATGATATGTATGGGGAGCCTAAGTCTCCTCCCTTTCCGGTCGGCTCATGGGTTCCCAGAAGAACAAAAAAAAAATGCAAGTCAATGGAGCTAAATGTGCCATTTTCTAATCCTCTTTGCCTTAGACCCTGGATCTCACATTTGATGTACATATGTTTTAAAATGAAAAGTACTGATGTGTGTTTCAACCACGCCAGTCACGTATACTTTTAGATTTATCAGCTTGTAAAAGTTCGCATTTAGCATGACTACAAATCAGATGTTGGAACATCGCATATATGACAGAGAATCTCCTCTACCCTAGCGGAGCTACTGTTTACCTCATGGCCAGACTTATGGTGGTTCTTTCCTCCAGAGGAAAGGATTTGAAGTTCGCTACACTTACAGCTATTGTTTTCTGCTTTTCTCCATTTTTGATTTGATGACATCAATTTGGTGATGTGCATTTGTAGACATATTTTCACACAAAACCTAAAATAACGTTTGCCCCTGTTCGAAAATAAGGACAACATATTTGAAATCTGTGGCACATAAGCAACGGGATTTGAAAATACTTGCATTCATTTTTTTGTTCTTCCGGGGACCCATGGTCTGGAGGTAGATGTTTGTGACTTAGGCTCTCTGTCAAGTATGTATAATTATCAAAATATTATTTTATTATTATGGCTGTTCACAAAGCTTTGTGTCTAAGCACATTCACAGCGAAGTGAAGGGAAGGACAAGATGTGGTAGAAAAAAACGTACAAGCAATAGGGATAACCACACTCTGGAGAGGGTGTGAAACAAAACCCATTAAAATGTGGGGGAGATTCACAAAGAGTGGACCAGGGGCGGCGTTCGACCCGGCTACTTGGGCTGAAGCCCCGGATGTTTCATGAAAAGCCCTGGATCTAAATCGCGGATGTAACATGCAGTACCAAAGTCAAACAGAGAGGGAGCAGCTGGCAGTAGTTTGTATACAGCCTGCCTGAGCCTCCACCACTGAAGAAGAAGCCCTTCAGCAGCCAGCTTCTTCTGCAGTCTCTGCCTGAAACGCATGAGTGAAGATGGACATAAGGACGTTTTTTGGACAAAAAGTACAACGACAGAACCCCAGCTTTGATGAGACTGATGTTGACTCAGGTTTGTGAGTCTTATTTGAAAATATTTTTGTGCTGCTGGTTTGCCTAAAGTTAGCTTACTATCAGGTAAAGTTGTTGCAGAAAGAAAGGGAATATTTACTATCATCTCACACTAAACACTAACAGGAACAATACTCTGCCCTGAATATGCTTTATATGTAGCTTCAGATTAAAAATTATGTGGTACAAGATAAATATATATGATGTTGACTAGTGCGTGTCACGTGTGTGCGCACGCGTTTGTTAAGCCCCGGATCTTCTTCAGTCCTAAATCCGCCCCTGGAGTGGACTGCAGCTGGAGTCAGTGCTTCAAGAACCACCACAAACAGACTTATGGAAGACATGGTTTCAGCTGTCCCATTCTTTGTGTCAAGCCACTCCTGAACAAGAAACAGCATCAGAAGCGTCGTACCTGTGCTAAAGACAAAAGAAATGGACTGCTGCTGAGTGGTCCAAAGTTATGTTCTCTGATCAAAGTAAATGTTGCATTTCCTTTGGAAATCAAGGTCCCAGAGCAAGTCCGTGGGAAGTAGGGGTGCTGAGGATGCTGCAGCACCCCCTTGTGGATGACTAATTACATGCATGTTCATATTCTGCAAGCAAAAGTCAAAGTTATTTATTAGATTTTGTTTTGAGCTTAATTGAACACAACTACTAATACATAATATTATTTTCAAAAACATTTTTGTATGTCAAACATACACTGAGCTATAAGACGTGAGATATGTACACAAATAGGGACACTTTTTTGTTTAACTGTTGATTTATTATTGGGATGAGAAACTCAAGCAGATTTTCTATATTGCTTTTTGTTCATGTATTTATTTTTCTGGTATTTTTCTCATAATGATTGCTTTTTGAAGAAGACCTTCATGTTGGGTTTCCCTTAAGCAGCCGCCACTTAGATGTAGCCACCACTTAGATGTACACCGGCGTTAACATTTATTTACTTATTTACGTTTATGTTTATTTATTTAGCAGACGCTTTTATCTAAAGCAACTTACAATTTATAACCTATAGGGCATGTTGTGATTACGTAGAACAAGGGAACTTTGCACCTCAGACATGTGCACCTGCATGGAGATGTTGTGGAACAGTTGGATATACAGTATGAGACATGATGATGCAGCGTTTCATCAGCGCAGTTCCGGAGCGCAGGAACACTTTTGGAGTGCTCTTTGTTCACTCTGTGTGGAAAGGTTGATGGCTTGTTGATCAGATCTGTGCTCGTTACAGTGGTCCTTAACCGCGTGTTACATTCTAAAAATAATCCGCAAAATCCACAAAGTCGTCAACTTTATTTTTTACATGTCTGGCGTACACAGCTACCCTCGGGGTCACACAAGAAAACACACCAGACTCCATTTCTCAACAGTTTTGTTTCCAGCATTTGAGCAGATTTGCGTCTCCTTCTCCTGTGCGGGGGCATAGATTACTGATGCGCTCCAGTTATGGCACAGAGCGCACGCTCCTCTCTCCGCAGACGTGCTGGTCCCAGCCCACCGCCGCAAAAACCCCTCACTACACACCTTATGCACTTTTTTCATACGCATTAACAGTTTAACTTTTCTCTCGTGTTTAAACATTCTCAAAGTTCAAACATTCAGACGCAGAACACAAAGCACTGTAAAAAAAAAGTGTGCAAAATGGAACTAAAAACTAGTGAAAGGTGAACTGTTACTGCACTGATGTTTGCTGATATTGGTTTGAAACAGTTTTTCGGTGGTGCCACGTTTGCATAAACAACGGGTGGGATTGTTCCATTTTGTTTTTAGTTTCCGTTACATTTAAGGAAATGTTCTTGGAGTGTTGTTCTGTTTCTGGTGATACACACTCAGGTGTCAGATCTGTTGTCTGAAGAGCTGCAGAGCATCAGTTCCCTTGCAACACGCTGTTCAGATTCAGGAAATTTTGACTTGTTATTTGAGGGGTTTTCCCAGTGTTGATGGTAATATGCAGCTGTTATGTGGATGAATGAACCAAGAATAATTAAGGCTTAGTACTATTACACATAAATAAAAAAACATGTTAAACATGTGTGCGTTTTTTTTTTGTGCGTGGCTGATCACAGCACCCCCTTAGGAAAATATGTTCCCATGGCACTGTCCCAGAGTCAGGAGGGAGAGAGGAGGGGAACAGAATCCATTGGCGCTTACACATTAGCGTTGGTTCGGTCCCTTACGGTAGTGATTCCTAAACAGGGGTTAGTTTACCCCTAGAGGTCCGTGAGAGCATTACAGGGGGTATGTGGAAAAATGAATATGTAATTACCCAGATGATGACAGCACTTGCTGTGCCCTGGTAAAAAAAACAAACATTGGGCTGGGATGTGTAATGCTTGATGAATATGCAAATAAAGTAATGCACAGTAATATTTTGGTTGATATCATATGATCAGTTATCAATTCAGCAAAACCATGACTTTGCATGAATTTTTTTCAAGCGGCGTCAGTTTTGGACCAGAGGCTGCTGCAGCGTGGACTCAGATGCTCTTGAACTGGTAACATTGGTGATACGGATCTAATTTGGGTTCCAGGAGCTGATGTTGAACAGAGAAACATCCTCAGTAAACTATTCTGGCGACAATAAAGTTGTGTCTGCGTTAATGCAAATTCGCTTAAATGCTGCTCTTTGAAACACGATAAACACACTGACTTCCAAACTTTTGGACATCTCCATGGATTTAGTTTGAACAAATTTCCACCTGCAGCTGTTTCTGCCATTGGTAACGCTGATGGTTGTGCAGCTCCTCTCTCTCTGTGCGGCTGGTGCGCATAACTTTAGACCTGCTGATCAGAGCATCGCTCAACCAGAAGCCAAAAGAAAGAATAAACCTCCAACTTATTTATTAATGTCGACAAAAACAAGCACCGCATCATTTTACCTTCAGTTAACCACTACTGGAGCAACATTCTACTATGAGAAAATAAAAACCATGAAAATTATTAAATGAATCAGAAATCAGGAAAGTAGGAAGAAATATTATTTCTGTTTTTACATTTTTCACTTCATTCGAAACTATACTTTTGTGTTTTCGCCAAATATAGCTTGAATTTTATTTAAATATCTTCATCTTTATTCGTTTCACGAGGATTTTTCTGTTGCTTTGGAGAATGAATCAGAACAACATAAAATCTACTTGAAAGGTTTATTTTTAATAAAGTTTTGAACATTAAATGTTCAATAATTTTTACAAGTATTTGTTCTGCTGAAAGTCATCTGGTGTGTGAGAATGTGAAACCAGTAATTTTATAAATAAATAAATAAATAGAGGAAAAGGGATATATTGTGATCTACTGTAAATCTTAGGCCATATGGCCCATTCCTACCCAAATGAATAATAAACCAGCTTTTATCAAGGGTTAAGACACACTATTAAGGAAAAATCCAGTTTCAAATGGATCAGAAATCATTGAGTCCAGTCAGAACATTTACACCAGCTTTGGTGTGGATCAGAATGCCGAGCTCCAGAAAGGTTCCACGTGGAGTTTATATTTTCTGGACCGTGCTTGAGGATTGTTAAAGTTAAAGAATTCACCTTAGAAATTAGAAGTGGTTTAGTGTTAAGGGTATTTAATGACATTATTTTCATTTAATAATCAGTTGTATGTTCTACTTTGGGGGAATTGTCAACACGTTTGACCAAGGGGGTACCTGTGGTACGAGAAAACGGCTCAGAGGGTCCACAAGTCAAAAAAGATTGGGAACCACTGCTTTACGGGACCGGAATTTGGTTTCACACACGGGTCAGATTTGCGTTTTCGGTTCCGAGGTGACTCTTTTTTTCAGTCCTCCTCCCCAGCGGTCAGACTGGGACCAAGGTGATACTACGGACTGATTGGCCGGCTGAAATTATGCCTACTGCCTCCGATCAGCGGGTGGAAAGTCCCACATGTGTGATTCATTTTCATGCTGGATGCTGTTAAGTAAGCTGCTCAGAGCTGCCGATCAGTGGGAACGGGAGTGAGCTCTGTGTGTGTGTGTGTGTGTGTGTGTGTGTGTGTGTGTGTGTGTGTGTGTGTGTCCTTCATTAGAAGATGTTTAACAGCCATAATTTAGGACAATGGGTATTATTAACATCTCCTAATCATGTTGTTGTTTATGCAGCAGCCTCGGCTCCACACTCACAGAATCATCTGACCTCAATCCAGCCCATATATGAGGATTCTCTATGTATTATCACACACACACACACACACACACACACACACACACACACACACACACACACACACACACACACACACACACACACACACACACACACACACACACACACACGCTCACATTTATATATACTAAGTGCTTCTGCAGTGAGTGCACAGGGTCATCTGTACTCTATTGTAACATATTTCTCCACATTTTAATCCCGGAAAAGAAAAGCTGATCCCATATTTTACATAACGTGTACAGAAGCATTATTCATAGACATTAAAAAGAGGGTATGGGCCGATTTCCTAGAATACATTACAAATGTCTAAGATACAACTGAAATGGTACAGCTATGACTGAAATGAATGCACATTAACAAAAGTCAGGAGAACATTTTATTGGAGGGAATCTAGACATGTACTGGTTTGTTTAGCACAGATTGAAGTTTTCTGATCATCTAGATGCAAGATTGTACCTTCATTAATGCTGCTGCAGCCTTGATGCTCATGACAGCAACTGACTCCCGCTTTCGTCGTCGTGGCAACCTGTTAAGTGCAGAGCGGGAGCTGGAAAACGAACAGAGGGATGCGGTGCGCGGTGTGAGTGGAGTCTGGGGGACACTGAGCCCGTCCACCTCCTCCACCATGCGGAAGCCACGACCTCGAGCTAGAGGATCTACAATCTGCACGCACGCACGCACACACACACACACACACACACACACACACACACACACACACACACACACACACACACACACACACACACACACAGGCACGTTTTAAAGATTATTCATAAACGTCGCTAATTTAAAACTGCATAATGTCATTACTAGGGTTGTGCAGTTAGTCTAACATACACTCCAATTTTCATTTTGATGTCAGAAGTCCACAAAGACATTATGACCTTCCAAAATATCACTGACGGTTTGTCGCATTCCTCCTTGCAAGCTCTAATTGTGTTTTGCTTTTAAAAATATGCAGATTTCTGCTCTTTCAGTTTTTTTTAAAGTCCATAAAACTAAAGATGGCAGAACAAGGGCAAAACACAATGATGCACACGACACATTAAAAACACCCACAATTGGTGAAGCATCTTTAGCAATACTTCCCCACTTGGTTTTATTTCCAAAAATCAACACTCCTCCCAGTTGGGACATCTGGGCTCCCATACCAGCTCTTCTCGGCTTTAAGAGCAGCAATGTCTCTCTAAGTTGCATTTGTATGATTGATCTCACAGAAAATGTATTACCTGATATCAACAGTAGTTTAAATGCATGTCTGAATAATTTCAGAAGTCTTTTGTTTTCACTCACTTAATTCACCTGCTTGGTGGTCTGTGTTGCTTTAAAGCCTTTTTAAAAAACTCCACAACCCCAAAACTCACAGAAATCAAAATTAAAATTCCCAAATCAGTTGCTTTTTACTCCACAATGTTTTTATCTTGCTGGCATTTTCAGCAAGTATTTCTTTTAGGTAGCAGGTTTATGCAATTCCCACTAACGATGGTTATTCTCCCGTACCACACTCTAATTAAAACTGCAGCAACATAAATTCAAAATGTTTTTAAAGAATATTACACAACATTTAGTTTAGACTTTGATGTATTGCAACACTACTTGCCGTACATCATTTCTGTGGTTATTAATCCAAAGTTGCAGTTTTGAATTTTGCAGATTCAGGATATTTTACAGAAAAGTGGTTTTTAACTAAAACACCTCTCAAACCCATGAAAGTGGTGAAGCAGAGGTGAAGGAAGCACCAAGAGGTGATGGGAAAGTTTGAGGGAGGCAAACATGGCAGAGGTGTGACTGTTTCTCTAATCGCTGTCCCTCTGCTGCCCCTTGAGGCGGCGGCCTACCCGCTGCATGCCACAGTGGTGGTGGTGACTGGAGTGGTGTGCTGGGAGGAACAGGGCAGAAGGGGTCTCAGTGCTGGCTAAGGACAGGTTGTCCTGGCTGTGGAGCTCCATCTCCCTCATCACCTGCGTCTTCAGACCCCCATACAGGTGGCTGCAGTGCTGCAGGCTCCTCCTCCTCCATCGCTGGATACTGTCGCTGTCTTTGCTCACACCAAACCAGTCAGCTGTACCCCTGAGGAAAACAAACACACCATTGTTAGTAGTGGATGAGTCAATAACTCACCACATGTTGACATCACTAGATAAATCTGACAGAAATGTCATAAATTTGTTGGAGATGCACCAGGCCACACTGGAGGTGTGCTGCTGAGGGTTTTCTGCCTCTGATATTGGTGATAATTTGTGCAATGATCCTTAAAAACCGTCCCATCAAGACTGGAGCATGTTCAAGGGCTTCAGCTGTATAATAAAAGTACACAAATGCCCATAATCCAACATTAAAGCAACGTTTTACCAACTGCTATGAAACCGTAGAGATCTGAGCTGTTTTACCATGACAGCAACACACAAGTTAAAGGGAATACAGGAGGATCATTTCTAAAGCTCAAGTCAAGGCAGACAAATTTTAAAGATGTTAAAAGCGTGTTTCACAAATGATTCAGCCTAGAGGATGACATTGTTTCCACGGAAACGGGTGAAGAACTGGAGTCCTGAACGACAGTCCTGCAGCTCCAGTCTGGATACAGATGACGTGATTTTATAAGAGTAATAAAAATCTCAGGATTAGTAGATCTCTAGTGCAACAAGACAACGTAATATGACGACATTTAAAAATCCTGTTTGCACAACTTTTCCAGCAGATCACCTGATTTAATGTTGAGACAACAAGCAAAGAGCAATACGTTTCTCTTTACAGGAACCTGCAAACCAGGCTGAGAGTCAACCTGTCAGGAGGAGGAGGAGGAGGAGGAGGAGGAGGCCACACTCAGGGCAACTGTTTAGAGAGCAGAACGCTCTGTAATAAACACTCCTCATCACTGAGAGCAAGGCCAGCTGCAGGGGGCGGAGCACATCTGACTGTTTGCTCCTCCAGAGAGGAATGTCTCTGGAGGAGCAAACAGAATGGAGGAAAAACCAAAAACAGTCTGACTAAACAGTCTATTTATAGTCAGAGAAATCAGTTTCCTTTAATATAATGAAAACCTCTGACTAGGTGGCACTCGTTTGACTTGTTAATTTGCTACTTTCACTTGTGCACGCAAAACAAGTCCCTAGCATACAGCATAAAAACACAAACGACCACGTCAGGGATGCAAGCAAGGCTTATCCTCCAGGTTAAGCAGGAAAACATGAAGAATCTCTTTGCTGTGCTGTGATTACAAACGTACGACGACACGAACAGCTGGTGCATTCTGGCATTTAGCATCACTTTAGCAGTTGGGCATGTTCACCATCATGTTCACCATCATGTTCACCATCATGTTCACCATCATGTTCGGTCTAACATGAAACAAAAGGATTGTTTCTTGTGTCTAAAGCAGAAGAGCTCAGTGGTTCACCTGGGTGCAGCCAGTCCTGCTGCATGCTGAAGTGCGGATGCAGAAAGTAAAATATTTATTCACGTTTAATCCTGCTGCACGTTTTTCAATGTTTCATAGATTTAAATCAAACGAAATCACACTGTAGTGCAACATTTCCAATGTTTCAACAAGCAGCAAGCCAGGCAAGACATCCTACATGCTTCTGCTACGGTCTGCCTAGGTTTCTGGGCTAATCTCCTGGTATTAAACTGTAGGTTTGAGATATCCAGTGTCAGCTGGTCAAATCCTCTTGGGGTGATGAGTCACATGAAAACACCAGAGTCAATCAGCCATCGCAGAGGTCTGTCCCATCATGTCCGCCTGTCATTCAAAGGGACATTTCATTACCCATGTGATGATGCACATGCACTCAGCTCCAGAGGTGCAATCAGTCAGCGGGTGGTGCTTATAGGACAGTGACCTGCTGAAGTTGTGAGTTCAAACCTCACCAGGAACATTCAGCAAAAACATCTACACTTTCTGAGTTCATCTACAAGGAAGAAAGTCCAGCAGCTTTTTATGAAAAGACAAGAGAAGCATGAGACAGGACAACCATTAAAATGGTCAAAATTGGTGAGAGCCAGTGTTAGCTATAGGAACCTGTAGCCCACAGATGATTTTATTAATGCTACTGAGTCACTGTTGCTGATGGGACCAACGTTTAAGAGGGAGTTACTTAACGTCCCAAAACATTCACGAGGGTTCTCTCTCTCTCCTCTCCTTTGCATGAGTTGTTCTGCCTCACTCTGAAGTCTAAACATGTTCAAAGCTTTTGCGTAAAAACTCTAAATTGTGTCAGATAGCCGTTTGAAAGCCGCCTCACTACACATGCTTCTTTAGGTACAGAAGTGTGAGGAACATGAGACAGTTCTCACAGTGGTGGGAGATTAAAAAGAAAAATACTTTTTGTTGCCTTGGCTCACTTTACCTGTGCTGAGAGCTCCAGGAGGGGTTCAGGGTCTGCGTCATACCTGTGGAAGTGGGTGGACTCCGTCAGCAGTAACCACTGACAGCCATGATCACCACTGATCCGCTGGACTCATCCTTCACAAATTACACAGGATATCAAGGCCAGCTGTACCTTGCTGTTACACAAACAGAGCAGGATCAACACATGTCCAGACTGCGTTTCACAGCTCAGCCATTCTTACAGAGGTCCCGGGTAATCAAAAGGTGAAAGCAGGCACTGATCTCCTCAGCCAAACGGGATTCTGACTTCTGCTCGAGGATCCAAAAAGGGGGGACTTCCAGTTCTCCTCCAGCTGGAGCTGCTCACTGAGCAGGAGGATCTTACACTTCCTGAACTATTTGTCTGCAGGACACAACTGAGGTTTCTGTCTGAGCGAGGGGGAGCAGGTATGAAAGTTGGCTTCCGTCTCGGTGTCTCTCCTCCAGAGGTCAGGCAGCAGGATGTGACCTGCTGGCTGAAGATGACAGAGGGTCTGGTCCATATCAACCAAATCGCCCCCCTTCCTCAAGGAGAAGCCTGAAAGTTCACCATAAACAAGGTCCTTCTCTAGTCTGAGTCAGACCAGCGTACGCACGAGTTTTCCTCTGACAGGCACGCCACAGGAAACGAGAACTTAGAGAGGAAAAAAGAGATCGGGGGGTGGAGAGCTGGAGGAGACGTGTCTGAACATGACACGAGTAGCCGTGAACACAGAACTCCTGCTGCATAGGAGCCTCAAACATTAACATCTCAGCCTATGAGCGCTAAAAACGTCCAATTAGGAGCATCACTAAATGCGACCAAACAATGATTCAGGTCTGAGGCCAAAACAAATCACTTCCTCACACGAGAAACAACTGATGAAGGTTTCTCTTCTTCCTCCAGATCAGCCATCAAGCTGTCATCCAAGGTTTCCTCTAAATCACACACACACACACACACACACACACACACACACACACACACACACATACACACACACAAATCATGCACAGGCATGCACGCACGCACACACACGCAGGCGCACACACGCAGGCGCACACACACACAATCATGCACGCACGCACACACACACACAATCATGCACGTGCATGCGCGCATGCACGCGCACCCACCCACGCACGCACGCACACATGCACACACACACAATCATGCACGCACATGCACATACACACACACTATCATGCATGCGCATGCATGCACTCACACACACACGCATGCACACACACACAATCATGCACGCGCGCACACACACACACACACACACAATCATGCACGTGCATGCACGCACGCACACATACGCAGGCGCACATACGCACGCACGCATGCGCACACACACAATCATGCACGCACATGCACGCACGCACACACACGCAGGCGCACATATGCATGCACACACACACGCACACACGTGCACGCACACACACACACACACACACACACACACACACACACTCGTTCCCTGATGAGGGCATGTTTCAGTAAACCTGGTACAGCAGCAGTTCTGTTATGTTAGTTTTGGCTACTGAAACATTTCATTTTCTTCACCCTAACCAATCAGGAAACTGCTTTGCTGCTCACTTAAGTTCACTTTTTCTTTGATACCACATAAATGACTTTAGTCCGAGGGTGATGAATCACAGGCCAGGAGGGTCTGTATCCAGCATGTTTCAGTTCTGACTCAGTTTCAACAACCCTGGTGTCAGTCCGCAGAGCCTGATGAGCTGCTGGTTATTCAGCCACTGAATCAGGTGTGCTGGAGCAGAGAAACCACTAAAATGCGCTCGATACCGGCCCTCCAGGACCGGAACTGAGCTTTAGTTTGTTATGGAGCCATTCATTCACACAATCACTCTCTGATTTTGGCCAGTAGGAGGACACCTGGAGACACACTAACTCCACACCGAAAAGCCACAGCTGGGTTTCAAACCTGCAACCAACTTGCTGAAAGGCAACAGTGCCACCATCTGTAACACCATGCTGCCTCCAGAATTATTTATGCCCCAACCTAATTTAAATCAGATAAAGAAAGTGCTGCAGGTGAGACTTAACTCACAACCTCAGCATTGCTTCACAAGACACTGTCTTATAGGTACCTCACACTGACTGATTGTGCCACTGGAGCTCTGTGGAGGTCTGGTTCTGGACTCAGTTCAGGGTCATTTCTGGATTCACCAGAGAAAGGAATGCTGGTTCTCCTGATCTGACCTTGTTTGGATTCTTTATCTTTGTAAAAGTGAATCTGTGCCTCTCATTGATTTTTGCCCCTGAATATTTCTGTCTGAACTCCTGTTACTCCCACACACAATGGCTCAGTGGACACCACAGGCAGCTTCCTGTCCGTTTTTATGAATGAAACGACCACATCCGCCCAGTGTTGTTGGTTTCTGCAGCTAGATGACACACTGCTGTGATCTGAGTTTATTGTCAAGATATAATCTGTAGATGAAGAAATCTACAACGACAAACGAGGCCAAACCAGCGATCTCTTCAGTTGAAACTCTGTAAGAGGGCTCAATTGTAAATGTCATTGAGATGTTTCAGGAAGTATTTAGAACAGCTGTGTGATGAAGTAGGAACCTTCAAATAAAACTAGAAGAACATCTGGTTCTGGAAACAGCTGGCGTTATGGGCAATGGTAAATGGCCTGCATTTGATATAGCGCCTTCTAGATTCCTGGACCTGCCCAAGGCACCTTACAACACAATCAGTCATTCACCCATTCACACCTTGGTGATGATGAGCTACATGGTAGCCCCAGCTACCCTGGGGTGCACTGACAGAGTTGAGTCTGCCGTACACACCAGCGTACCACCAAAGGACCTTGCCCAAGGACAGAACGACAGTGACAAACTGAGCGGAGCTCGATTCTGCATTCTTCCGATTATAGGGCGAGCCCTTAACTCCTGTGCCATCGATGCCCTGTTAAGGTCTGGCATGTTTCAATGGCTAGCAGATAAATTGTTGTGGAAAATGTTGTCATGGCAACCAGGGGAAAAATGAAGCTTTTTGACATGAAACTATTTTCAATTGCAAAACAAAATGTTTTCTAGAACAAAATGAATGAAACAGAAGGAAAATGTATTCTTCAACATGTAGTTACCAATCATGAGATCATTGGAGATTAATGAGTAATCTGGTGAAAACCGGTTGAGTTTAGACATTATTCAATGAGATGGCGTAATGATTCAGGACAGGGCTCAGGGCTTCATCCTCTCTTGTACCTGATGATCTGTTTGGGTATAGACGATCGGCGTCTGGAGAGTATTTTGGGGATGCAGGACCGCCTTCGACAGGTTGACACCTTCCTCGGGGCCCTCTGGCCTTTTGGGGGAACCGTGTTGACACGATCAAAGCGAACTCTTTTCTCACTATGTACAGGATATGAGGTCGGGAGGGAGGAAAACGGTATGGAATAGGGCGGATTCAAGGAAAAGAAAAAAAACAGCAAGGTTATTAGTTCTTGAATAGAAACATTACTTGAATGTGAGTCAGCGTAACAAAGATTTTAAAGTGGAGGATTTATTTGTACATCTGCATCCAGAATTGAAGAGAAACTAGCAGCTGCAGATTGCTTTGTGTGCTGATGAGTGTCTGACCTCTTGACTGACTCCATGAAGGGTAACTTCTCCGGGGGAGGTTTGAGGTAGTTGTTGGAAGTTTCCAAAGCAGCAGTCTGGGTCTGAGGATTGTCCCCTGGCATGCTGACACTGCGAGTTCGCTTCACTGGCTACATCACACACGCACACACACACACACAGTTCCTTATCATATGGAATGTGCTTTTAATTACAGAGAAACAAACTTCCTTTTGCACAGCAACTCAAATCTGTGTTTCAGAGCAGTTATTGTGAGTCGTGGTCTGGTTTTACCTGTGTGAGAGGCGGCGTGTCGTCTGGAGTTAGCTGGATGGTTGGCATGTCCAGTTTGAGCCAAGGTGGTTGCTTCCTTTGTAGGCTGCTGCTCCTGCTTCCTGTCTCATCCATTTTCACAACCTCCATCTAGACCTGCCAGCTGGAAAAAACAACCCACAAAATCATTTTCAGGCTATTCACAACTACTAGATGCCCACAAAATATACAGTGACAACTATTCTTCAGAGGCAAGAAGGAATTTCTTTTTATATGTGCACACACACACACACACACGCGCGCACACACACACGCACACACACATACACACACACACACACACACACATTCACACGTCTGTCTTTCTATCAAAGTGGAGCATGCACACGCATGCACACATGCACACACACGCAGGCGCACACACGCACGCACGCATGCACACACACAATCATGCACGCACGCACGCACGTCCATTGACTTCCTTTTATTTTTGTGACTCCATTATGCGCGACCCAAACCATTACTGATGCTAATCTATTCCTAACCCTAACCTTAGTGAAACCCTAACCCTTAATGAAAAAGTACAGGGGAGACATTCATGTCACTAGTCCACTGAGAGGGTTATGTTAATGAAAAAGGACAAGTTTGTGAATCTGATGAACAGAGTTTGATAGTAAACAAGTAAAAGTACTACACACTATGCCTTTAAACTGTCGGAAACTCAGTTAATAACAAATGTCCTTTCCTGAGCATGTTCTATTAAAGCTTCAAAATGCTCCAGGTAAGGCTTGAAATCACAACCTCAGCATCACTTTGAACTTTACTGTCTTAGAAGTACTGTGCGCTGACCGATTGCACCACTGGAGCTTGACAGCTCCTTGTTTTCATTGTTACCTACACATCACTTCTCCAAACTTATCCCATTTACCCACCCTCTACGTCACCAATAAATTTCTACCGTGTCACAAACTCTGAAACATATCACAGAGTAGAGGTTCTGAATAATAATATTTGATTGTCACAAAGAAATCAGCTGTTTGAGAACAGAAAGAAGATTTTAACACTGAATGATCCAGACACTGGATGTTATGCAACAAGGAACATTTGAACATAAAACAGAGAATCTGTTGGTAGGAATAGGATTCAAGAGGTAGATGTTCCAGGAGAGGGTTGAACACAAAACCTCGGCAATACTCTGCTGGTAACTGACGTATAAGTACCACATGCTTAACTGTTGCCCCACTGGAGATATGAAGTTCAGTTTTTACATTTTGGTCTAAAAGGTATATACGGTATGAAAATATTGAGCAATTGCCTAATCTGAGAGTCAGCATGACAGACGATTTATTTATTTATAATTTTTTCAGGAAAACACCTGATTCTAAGAGGAGAAGCTGATTTCACAAAGGTCTTAGGTGAGCCGAGTATACTCATAACTAGATAACAGGACACCTTTGTGGACGTCTGATCAAGAGGAATGAGAGGCCTCCAGTCAAAATTTCTTGGGTTTTCTCAGCTTTGAATCGTTCAAAAACTCCTGGCTATGAGTGAAATTACAGGCTCTTCTTTTGCCAATAATCCATGAGCCAAACAATAAGCTCCTCCTTCATCCTTCGCAGTGGAGCTGAAATTCAGGGTGCTCTGATTCCAGCCAAGTCCAATGACTCCAAAAGGAATCAGCGCCAGCAGCTGTGGGACTTCACTGATAAAGAAAAGAATAGGATGCTTCCAAAGCTCAAGAGTAACTGCATGATCCCAC